AAAAGATCCAATGTTCAGATGCAGAAGCTAAGAAGTAAGGGTGATCAAGTGATAAAAGTAAGGGTGGACCTGAGTCATGGATAAATCATGGATTGAAGGATCCCCAGTCAACCAATCATTTGCAAGCACAAATAGTTTCTCTTCTCTGGTTTGGATGCGTTTTTTCCGCTTTCCTTTATTATCGTTGATGTGGAATCTGAGCCGCCCTTCTTTATCTGCATTTACATCATTTAAGGTTTTCTTCTCATTGCGTCTGAGCTGTATCCCTTCATTGTTCCAGATAAACAGAATTAGTTTATACATCAAGTAAAAAGAGATATGTACCAAAGCAGATTTGACATACAAGATATCTCTTCTGCACGGCATACAATGTGAAGAGCCTCGTCCAAGCTATAACCCGGTGGCGCATTGATAATGTACTTCATTGTGTCAAACTTTAGATAATACTTTGTCATCAGCCTTCCGGGCTCTACACAAAATAACCAGAGTGAGTTATATTTGAAATCTAAGATATAAAAAATCATAAATCTCAATACCTTCTGGTTTCAAAACAAAACCGTCTGTGTCAGTCCAGATCATCTGGTACTGTGACAGCTCATTGATCTTCTGAAGGCAAAGCTCTGGTAGGAACAAAGACAAATGAGAACTTCAAAAAGGAAAAATGAGTAAACTAACTAAGTCACTAGGGCACCTTGCAAATGCTTCTCTACTCGATCTTTAGGAATTCCTTTCTTAATAGCATAGTTCTCCGGATTCTGTCCACACGAACTTCAAAGTTAGTTATACCATATATGATAATAATCAAGTTGCCGGAAAAATCATTGAGAGAGCATATGAACGTGCCTTTTTCATTCTGACATACAGGTAAGAGCACTTCATCCACTCAATTGCCCGTGTAACGTCAGAGACAGTAAGTTGAACTATTTCTGCAGTTAGGTGCTCTATTAAGCATGGCAGCAATCTGAAACAAGAATCACAGAAGAATATTTCTTGAAGTTAACAAATAGCTTTTGAAGAATGTGTAAAAAAGCTAAGGGTTTGAAAAACAGAAGTTTACTGGCGAATACATACTGTGATTCAACAACCTCGCAGCCATTCAAGAGATTCTCATATAGATGGACCTGTAATCGTTTAATAAACAAGTAGACAACATAAGATAAAAGTAAAATTAAAGTAAGCAATTCGGGAACATAGAAAAGTTGCAGAAAATAACCGTCTGTCTTCTAGTCATAATAATAACCATTCCTGTGTCATCAAATGGAGGCCGACCAGCCCTGCCACACATCTAGAAAAGAGAGATTACTTCTCTTGCTAGCAATATAATTTGGTGTACATTCCAGTGACCTTTGCAGATAATCAGACTGAAATATTACATATAGTCAACTACTACACAAGCTCGAATAACATACCTGTAGTAGTGTGGAACGATCATATTCCATGTAGTGACCTTTTTCCTTGTTGCTGAAAGGAAAAAATGACAGTGTGTACTAATTTAAATTCCAAATGATACTTATTGAAATTATGTACGCAAAGACGTACAAATGTTGAGTTGATTTTATGACGACTGTATGTGCAGGCAAGTTGATTCCATGAGCAAGAGTGTTGGTCGTGCAAATAACTTGGATATCTCCACTAAGGAAGAGACCTTCTACGAGGCTGCGGTCCTTTTGGCAAAGACCACCATTGTGATAACCAACTAATTGGGACATTGCGGTGCTATTCAGCTTGCAGAACAATGATGAATCAAAGGTACAATAAACAAGCTTAAAAGAGCCAAACAGACCATACCGCCTTGTAGAATATAAGATTGCATTTGTTTGTCACTGCACATTGGCGAAGCCTCCCTTAATCGTTCCAGCTGTTCTCTGCTTTTAATAAATGGATTTGAGTAGCCATAGGTCATTGCAGTCTGAGCAAGCATTTGTGCAGCCTCTTGAGCGCCTTTTCGTGTCGAGCAGAAAACTAAGGCAGATTTTCCTTTCGAATATTGCATTAAAATGTCTGCAAATTGATAGGTTTCCTCAACAGAGTGGTGTAAGTTACAACCTAAGCAAGACATCAATAGCAGAAGAATATCATGATAATAGGTGCTTACCATAAATATAGTTCTGGAGCCGCTGGATATGAGAAGATAAAAGAAAGGAAAACAAGACTGGATTTAGTTGATGTATCTACAAAAGAGACAAGAGGTGCTAAGGCTATCGAGTACTGCAGAAACTGTATACCTTTTCAAAGAGGAAGTCATTCTTGGCAGCCGCATAACCTGTACAGAAAAGACAGTTTGCATTTTCTTAAAATTCATGAAAACAGGAATGTCATCAACAGCTAACGAAATTCATCAACACGAGCATCTTAATATTCAAACAAAAAAAAAGTCAAAATATTGGCCTTCGAGACTCGACATGTACCAAAAACTTTAGTTGTCAACTTAACAGGTCTCATTTCTTCGCCAAACCTATAGAAAATGGGAAGGGAAACAATGAAGAAATTGAAAACATTTTCCAACATAAGGGTGTATTTCTCTGAAGATCAATCCATAGGTACCTCTTAATTCCTGCGGTAGGAACCTTGAGCCATTCCGCTGCAGTAATTGAATAAGTGTTACCACTTCAGTTGTTTGATCAAGTCTTTTATTTTTACTTTTGAAGCAAGTTAGCCACCAAAAAAAAAAATAGTAACACAATCAGCAGAATATGACTAGAATTGTGAGCTACATTGTACCTAGATCCTCAATGTTTGGGATAGTAGCTGAGACAGCCAGAAGACGTACGGAGGCTAAAGGACAAGACCTTAGTTCGCGATTGCTAGAAAGAATTTTTATTCTACTGACTATTGCCTCGAGAGCAGCTCCACGTGGATCATTCAGCAGGTGAACTTCATCAATGAGTACAAGTGCTATATCACTGAAAAAACCTAAGCCTCCACTGGTAACACGATAACGACTCACCGCATCAAATTTCTGCAGGAAAACATATAAACTACAGTGATACTAGAGGAGATACAAGCATTTCGTGTCCATACAGAATGGAATGTCATATATTGCTTATGTTCCGAAAAGCATTGGGAGAAATCAGAAGCAGTAAACAAGTTCCAATAAGTAAGTACAGACAATAAGAAAAATTGGATATCTGACCTCAGGTGTAGTCAAGATAATATCAGCGTCTTGTATATTCCTTGTACTGTATGTTTCATTATCACCTGTCAGCTCCAAACAACTGATTCCCCATGAATTAAACTTTTGATTCCAATCACGCAGCTTCTCCTGTACTAAAGCCTTGGATGGAGATATGTAAACCTTGACACCAAAGGTAGAAGAAACCATAAATAAACTTCTAAATAGCATCCAGTCCAATATTGGCGTGTTTGTTGTAAGAACAAAGGCATCAAACATTCAGAAAATCCCATCCACAAAAGCTTACTGTTTTAAGAGCTCCTTTAGCATGGAGAAACCTTCCTTCCTTAGAGATAGACTTGGAAAGAAGCCTCAAAATGCTTAGCTCGAAAAGTACGGTTTTACCACTTCCTGTTGGCGCTGAGATAACCATGTTGATATCGGAGTGGAAGCAAAGTGGAAAGCATTCGCTCTGCAGCGAGTTGAAGTATCTGAACACAAACGAGCCAGAAGCAACACAAAGCAAAGTTTTAGATAACATTCGTGGAATCATTCCTTGTGTTATCATTATACATCTTAAACGAGCACTAGAAGTAGCAACAAGATCACTAATAATAGATGAAGACGAAATCTCAGGTTAAAGTAATATTACCTGAAACTAAAAGCTGAACGGAAATTTCCAGGCAAATCTGAGACAGATTTCAGCGAGTGTGTATCCATGATCAATGATAATTTCACGATCTGCAGATTTTTCAATAGCGATCACTTCATAAATCCGTCCGTACATCACAAACACACAAATTGAAAGCGAAATCTACTCTGATACTGATGAGGAAACCGATTGAAATCTCAAACCTAATCGCCAAATTCAAACTAAAAACAGATTACGGTAGCGAAATTTCAGAGAAATCGTGCGAGGAAGTTACGAGATGATTACTGACTAGTCGAAACTCGCAAAAAATACTCCATTGTAACCGATTGAAATCTCAGAATTCAAACTCAAAAACAGATTCGGTAGCGAAATTGCAGAGAAATTGAGCGAGGAAGTTACGAGATAATTACTGACTAGTCGAAACTCTCAAATACTCCATTGAAACCGATCACGAATCGAGCAAATACAACTGAGAAACGAACATATAATCAAATCTAAACTTGAATCAGCATCCAAAAACTTGTGCGAGACGAAACTTGAAGAGCAACGATCTCAGAGAGAAAGAGAGAGAGTGGATTCAAAATTCAGGAGGCGTCAAGTTCCTTTTGACCGTTGTATTGTACATTAAAAATCTTTATGGGGTCATATGATAATTTATTCATAGTAATTGGGTTTAATTTTTAAGTTTACGCTGTTTCTAAAGGGGTAATTTCGTAAATATTTACATGTCGCTGTGAATAAAAAGAGAGAAACCGGAGAAATTTGCAATCTCCCTCTTCGCCGGCAACCGTCTCCCGGATTCGCTCTTCTTCGTCGTCAGATTCTGAGACTATTGCAAGTGGTAAATCTTCTTTCTGTTACTATTACTCAATGAGATTATATTTATCCGATGCTTAGATTCGAGTGTACTTTGTAATCGAGCCGTATCGTTAGATCTTCTTTTAGCTTCAGAGTATTTTTTTTGTTCATCATGGGTTTTTCTTAGACCCTCGGTGATTTATTATTGATCGTATGTATTCAGATCTTACCAGATCTGATTTTTGTAATTTTTATCCAAATTTTGTAGTTTGTTCGACGTTTTTTTGATTTTTGTATGTGATTCGAATTCGTTATTCTGGAATTAAGTTATGGAATTGCAAATTACAATCAGAGAATCAAATAAACAAAAGAACTAAAATGTTGTAACAAATTTCAACTTTGTTGTGCTTTTTTAACTTCAGGGGAGAGGAAAGGGATATGGCGAGCTGTGTGAATTCTCCGGCGATTACTCTGTGTCCGCCACGTGTCTCTCCTTCGAAGTCACTCCGCTGCAGCACCGGCTTTAACAAATCCGTTTCGCGGTCATCATTTTCGTCCACCCGAAACGCCGTACTCTCTCTTCGCCGGAAGCAAACCGCCGCTACGTTTCAGGTTATGGCTGTGGCGGCGGAAGAAGCGGAGCCTTTGAGAATCATAATATCAGGAGCTCCAGCTTCAGGTAAAGGTACACAATGCGAGCTCATTACTCAGAAATACGGTTTAGTCCATATCTCAGCCGGAGATTTGCTTCGAGCTGAAATTGATTTGGGTAGCGAAAACGGAAGACTTGCTAAAGAATATATGGAGAGAGGGGAACTGGTTCCTGATGAAATACTTGTAAAGATGGTAAAAGAAGCTTTGTCGAAGCAAAACGGATGGCTTTTAGACGGATATCCGAGGAGTTCATCGCAAGCAAAATCCCTCGAGAGATTTGGATTCAAGCCTGATTTGTTCATTCTACTTGAAGTACCTGAAGAAATTCTTGTTGAAAGAGTAATTGGACGTAGATTAGATCCTGTCACTGGAAAGATCTATCACCTTAAGTATTCTCTTCCAGAGACCCAAGAGATCGCTGCTAGACTTACTCAACGGTTTGATGATACTGAAGAAAAGGTGAAACTGCGGTTGAAGACGCATAACCGAAATGTGAGAGATGTGTTATCGATGTACCGAGATATAACGGTTAAGATTAAGGGAGATTGTTCGAAAGAGGAAGTGTTTGGTCAGATCGATAAGGCTCTAACCAAACTGGTTCAACAGAAGAAGATTAGTAGTTCAAACCCTTCACTTGCAAGCTGATGAAGCATTTGGTAGACACAAGACTTGACCATTTTGATGATCTCTGGAGACAACAAACAACCTCTTGTTGAAACAGAAGAACACAGCCATTGCGTTGCATCGGCAAATAAAAAGGTTTATACATGATTGAATTGCAACAGCATCAAAACGATTTAGGAATGTAATAAGAAAACAGTGGTGACTATATTGAATTGTTGAGACGTATGGGCTATATTTGATGAGAGATATTCAACCACATTCATCATCCTCTTATCTGATTATAAAATATGACATAATCACAACATGGTGATTAGCTAGGGTTCAAGTAGTCTAACCTTGTTGCACCCACTGTCTCTAAAGACTATGTTTGGTGGCAGAGGGTGGCTCGCTTGTGTCGCCCCATTTACATGCGAAGCCCTCCACATCTTTCTGTATATTGTGTAGCAGCAATATGGAGAGGCAAAAGAAGATTCAAAATGTGAGGGTAGCTGGCTTGTGTTCCCCATTTACATGCCAAGCCCTCCACATCCTTTTGTGTATTGTGTAGTAGCAATATGGAGAGGAGGAAAAAGATGGCTTTTTAGTATGTATCATGCTAACCTATTTGTTTATAAGCAAGATTTGGGTTGGGAGATTGATTTAGAATGTGAGGTGTAACTAGAATTTGTATGTTTGTGTGTGATGTATATTACAAATATTAATAGAAGAAAAAATCGTAGGTGNTTGGGAAAAAAATAAGTAGGCATGTCAAACGGGCTAGCCCGGTCCGGCCCGGCCCGAAACCCGTAAAGCCCACCTATATATAAGCCCGGTCCAAATAGGGCTATAGGGCTTTATGATTTTTTCGTATTTATATATAAAATAAAAATAAATTAAAAACAAATATTATTTTCCAAAATAAATCCAAATTTAAATAACTACCAATATGTTTTTATCGAAATCTAATTTAACTAAAAGAAAAAATATGACCAAATGAATGCAAACGTCAAATGAATTCAAATAACTATAAATAAATAGTACTCTCAAATAAAACATAATCAAAATACCAAAAATCCAAGTAGTAGAATACGAGTTTTTGGTCAACGAAGTAAATATATATAAATTATTTTAACCAATTTATCTTTAAAAAGTATCTTTAAACAAAATTTATTACTAAATTTATAAATTATATGTTTATTTTCAGGCTTTCCGGGCCGGTCCGAGCCCAACAGGGCTAAAGCCCAAAAACTCAATAACCCGAATAGGTTTAGCCCGAAAGACCCGATTTTTTTGGACTTATATATTCAGGTCCGAACCCGATATTTTTAAGGGTTGGGCCGAGCTGGGCTTTGGGCTTTGACCCTAATTGACATGCCTAAAAATAAGTATATAAAAGAAAGAAGGGTATTTGAGATGGAGGTTAAGTAAGGAACTTCATTGAGAATGTGAAGTGTAATTATAATTTATGTTTTGTGTGTGTATATATTAAAAATATAAATAAAAAATATATGTACCTAAGTGTTTGGGGAGAAATATATATTTATATGGAAGG